GTTGTGTGAAAGTTACTCTTCCAGGAGAGTGTTGCCCGGATTGGAATTGCAGGTAAATTTAATTTCAGTGGGTTTTGGTGAAAGCAATCGAGAACATGCTGGTATGAAGGCTTAGATTTTAAACGTTAGGTAAATAAGAAACTGCTTGTCAAATTCGCCGTAAAACTGCACGAAGATTATTTTTGGACGAATAACCATAGAGGAATTCTCGACAATATAGGCACTGTATTACCGACTTCCCAATCCACTTCGAACGTGCCCGCCAATCCACCCGCCGTCAGCCCACTCGCCCGTCACTTGCATAACAGCTACTTGAAACTAATCTTGACTTAAATGTAAGGGGTAGTAGTGGCAAACTATACTCCAAGCATGTAGATTAATTTACTTGAATGTTAGTGTGTCTACGTAGGTTTTCAAACTGGTTTTAATCTGACTGGTTTTATTGGCACATTCAACGGTCTCGGTTAAATTTCACCCTCTGCTGTTCTTGCGTTGTGCTGCATGTCATTTGATTACTGGTTGATGTCGTGACTTGTTAGACTAAATTTAAGATTTCTTTCCCAAAGCTTTTTTCAGACAAAAGATTTAAAAAAAAAACTTGTTGCTTCGGTTGCAAGCATCTTCAAGAAGAGCGAAACCCTTCTCGAACCCTTAAACTTCTATTTTCCAGGGGATGTTTGGATCAGTTTGGAACATTACATGAAATAGGGGAAACCTGGAGCACAGTTGATCCTTGTCTACTGTTCCACTGTACTACTGGAGGAATAACTACCGAACGGATCCGCTGTGATGATACGATCCCACCCCATATTGGCTGCCTAGAGTACACCCCAAAGGGGGAATGTTGCCCAAAATGGAACTGCAGGTAGGATGAGTTCTTAGTGAATTGGCTTTTAAGGTTTACAGAAGTAAATGGAGTTTTAATGATCCATTTTCACTGGCTGTTTATCTTTTTTCAGTGGGTGTGTTGACTATACTGGCACATACCATCCACTGTATGATGTCTGGAAGACTGACCCCTGCACCACACACCTGTGTACGAAGAATGGTATCGAAACCACAAGAGAAAAATGTGATCTGGGACCTGCGCCCCATCATAGCTGTGTGAAAGTTACTCCTCCAGGAGAATGTTGCCCTGAGTGGGAGTGCAGGTAAATGTAATTCCAAGTACTTGATGAAAACAGAACTAAAATATACAGATGTAAAGAAGTTCAATTTAAACTTGAGGAAAAAATGGGATTACATGTAATAAAGTGGCGTCACAAGTGCGGCACTTAAAAGTACACTTTACATTTCCGGTCTATTAAGCGGAGGAACCACTATCTACAAAGTAGGTGATGTTAATATTATTTTCCAGGGGCTGCTTGGATCAGTTTGGAACCTTGCATGAAATCGGGGAAACCTGGAGCACAGTTGATCCTTGTCTACTGTTCCACTGTACTACTGGAGGAATAACGACCGAACGTATACACTGTGAAGACTCGAGCGCACCCCATATTGGCTGTCTGAAATATACCCCAAAGGGTGAATGTTGCCCACAATGGAACTGCAGGTAGGAACATTTTTCAGTGGATAAGCCTTTATGTTCATATAATAGATCAACGTTACCTACTATGAATACAGTCTTGATGATCCATTTTCAAGTTGGATTTTTAATGGTTTCAGTGGGTGCGTTGACCGCTATGGCACCTACCATACACTGTATGATGTATGGAAGACAGATCCCTGCACCACACACTTGTGTACGAAGAATGGCATCCAGACCACTCGGGAAGACTGTGACACGGGACCTGCACCTCATCCTAGTTGTGTGAAAATTACTCTTCCAGGAGAATGTTGCCCAGATTGGAATTGCAGGTAAATCTAATTTAAAGTGGATTTTCGAGAATGCACTCTAAAACGTGAAGGTCTTTATAATGGCTTGGATTTTAAACGTTAGGCAAATATGAAACTGCTTGTCAAATCGGCAATAAACCTGCATTAAATGATATCGGACAAATCACCGTAGAAGAATTCGTGACGAAATAGGCAGTTGTAGTGGGCACTTGCTTCCCTCTTACTCGCCCTACCCTACTGGCTTTAATCACTCGCGCGCGTATTCTTAAACATCTTCCCCTTGAAGAGGGTCGTCGTGTTTCAACCTGGGTTTTAAACTAAAGGAGTCCTGAGGGACACTACAGTACTTAACGGGGTTGTGTGGCGGTAAAATTAAATTTATTGGAATTGGCTAATTTTACCGACACGCCACTCCGCTAAGTACTATAGTGTCCTCTGGACTCCTTTAGTTTAAAACTCGGGTGGGAACACGACGACCATCTTCAAGGGAAGATGTAGTTTAATAATACGAGCGTTTGAATCTTCCCACCAAAAATATGGTTTGGGTTAAATTTCAGCGTCGGAGGTTCTTCTGTGTGCTGCATGTCCTTTGATAACTGGCTTGTTGACTCTCGAGACTAAATTTAATTCTTTACCAAATCCTTGATTCGGAAATTAGATTTGCTGAAAAAAAAGAAAACTATACTGCTCATTTCCAGGTATCTTCACCTCAAGATTAACACTTCTCTAAAATTATATTTTTTAGGGGCTGTTTGGATCAGTTAGGCAAATTACACGAAATAGGGGAGGCCTGGGACTCGGTTGACCCCTGCCTAGTATTCCACTGTACTACTGGAGGAATAACTACGGAACGTATACACTGTAATGACACGATCCCGCCCCACATTGGCTGTCGAGAATACACGCCAAAGGGAGAATGTTGCCCAAAATGGAACTGCAGGTAGGTAGAGTTCCCAGTGAATTGATTTTGAGGTTTATAGACTACGTCGATGTAATTTTTGTGTAGTATTTATTAGAATCCATTTTCACTTTGGATTGTTCATCCTTTTTTCAGTGGGTGTGTTGACTATACTGGCACATACCATCCACTGTATGATGTCTGGAAGACTGACCCCTGCACCACACACCTGTGTACGAAGAATGGTATCGAAACCACAAGAGAAAAATGTGATCTGGGACCTGCGCCCCATCATAGCTGTGTGAAAGTTACTCCTCCAGGAGAATGTTGCCCTGAGTGGGAGTGCAGGTAAATGCAATTCTAAGTACTTGTTGAAAACAGAACTAAAACCTACAGATGTAAAGGAGTTCAATTTAAACTTTAGGAAAAAATGGGATTACATGCAATATAGTGGCGTCACAAGTGCAGCACTTAAGAGTACACTTTACATTTCCGGTCTATTAAGCGGAGGAACCACTATCTACATAGTAGGTGATGTTAATATAATTTTCCAGGGGGTGCTTGGATCAGTTTGGAACATTACATGAAATAGGGGAAACCTGGAGCACAGTTGATCCTTGTCTACTGTTCCACTGTACTACTGGAGGAATAACTACCGAACGGATCCGCTGTGATGATACGATCCCACCCCATATTGGCTGCCTAGAGTACACCCCAAAGGGGGAATGTTGCCCAAAATGGAACTGCAGGTAGGAAGAGTTCTTCGTGAATTGGCTTTTAAGGTTTACAGAAGTAATGCAATTTACTTGCAGTTTTAATGATCCATTTTCACTGGCTGTTAATCTTTTTTCAGTGGGTGTGTTGACCATACCGGCACATACCATCCACTGTATGATGTCTGGAAGACTGACCCCTGCACCACACACCTGTGTACGAAGAATGGTATCGAAACCACAAGAGAAAAATGTGATCTGGGACCTGCGCCCCATCCTAGCTGTGTGGAAGTTTCTCCTCCAGGAGAATGTTGCCCAGAGTGGAAGTGCAGGTAAATGTAATTTAAGTACTTGTTGAAAACAGAACTAAAATACAGATGTAAAGAAGTTCAATTTAAACTTAGGAAAAAAAAATGGATTACATGTATAAAGAGGCGTCACAAGTGAGGCACTTAAAAGTACACTTTACCTTTCCGGTCTATTAAGCGGAGGAACCACTATCTACAAAGTAGGTGATGTTAATATTATTTTCCAGGGGCTGCTTGGATCAGTTTGGAACCTTGCATGAAATCGGGGAAACCTGGAGCACAGTTGATCCTTGTCTACTGTTCCACTGTACTACTGGAGAATAACGACCGAACGTATACACTGTGAAGACTCGAGCGCACCCCATATTGGCTGTCTGAAATATACCCCAAAGGAGAATGTTGCCCACAATGGAACTGCAGGTAGGAACAGTTTGTGGATAAGCCTTTATGTTCATATATACTAGATCAACGTTACTTACTAGAATACAGTCTTGATGATCCATTTTCAAGTGGGTTTTTAATGGTTTCAGTGGGTGTTGACCGCTATGGCACCTACCATACACTGTATGATGTATGGAAGACAGATCCCTGCACCACACACTTTGTGTACGAAGAATGGCATCCAGACCACTCAGGACTGAGACACGGGACCTGCACCTCATCCTAGTTGTGTGAAAATTACTCTTCCAGGAGAATGTTGCCTGATTGCAGGTAAATCTAATTTATGATTTTCGAGAATGCACTCTAAAACGTGAAGGTCTTTATAATGGCTTGGATTTAAACGTTAGGCAATATGAAACTGCTTGTCAAATCGGCAATAAACCTGCATTAAATGATATCGGACAAATCACCGTAGAAGAATTATGACGAAATAGGCAGTTGTAGTGGGCACTTGCTTCCCTCTTACTCGCCCTACCCTACTGGTTTTAATCATCCGCGCGTACTTAACATCTTCCCTGAGGGTCGTCGTAGCAACCCGTTTAACTAAAGGAGTCCTGAGGAACTACAGTACTTAACGGGGTAAAATTAAATTTATTGAATTGGCTAATTTTACCGACACGCCACTCCGCTAAGTACTGTAGTGTCCTCTGGACTGCTTTAGTTTAATACTCGGTGGTAACACGACGACCATCTTCAAGGGAAGATGTAGTTTAATAATACGAGCGTTTGAATCTTCCCACCTAAAATATGGTTTGGGTTAAATTTCACGTCGGAGGTTCTTCTGTGTGCTGCATGTCCTTGATAACTGGCTGTTGACTTCGAGACTAAATTTAGTTTTACCAAAACCTTGATTCGGAAATTAGATTTGCTGAAAAAAAGAAAACTATACTGCTCATTTCCAGGTATCTTCACCTCAAGATTAACACTTCTAAAATTATATTTTTAGGGGCTGTTTGGATCAGTTAGGCAAATTACACGAAATAGGGAGTGGACCTGTTGACCCCTGCCTAGTATTCCACTGTACTACTGAGGCATAACTACGAACGTATACACTGTAATGACACGATCCCACCCACATTGGCTGTCGAGAATACACGCCAGAGGGAGAAGTTGCCCAAAATGGAACTGCAGGTAGGTAGAGTTCCCAGTGAATTGACTTTGAGGTTTATAGACTACGTCGATGTAATTTTTGTGAGTATTTATTAGAATCCATTTTCACTTTGGATTGTTCATCCTTTTTTTCAGTGGTGTTGAATATACTGGCACATACCATCCACTGTATGATGTCTGGAAGACTGACCCCTGCACCACACACCTGTGTACGAAGAATGGTATCGAAACCACAAGAGAAAAATGATCTGGGACCTGCGCCCCATCATACTGTGTGAAAGTTACTCCTCCAGGAGAATGTTGCCCTGAGTGGGAGTGCAGGTAAATATTCTAAGTATTTGTTGAGAACAGAACTAAAACCTACAGATGTAAAGGCGTTCAATTTAAACTTTAGAAAAAATGGGATTACATGCAATATAGTGGCGTCACAAGTGCAGCACTTAAGAGTACACTTTACATTTCCGGTCTATTAAGCGGATGAACCACTATCTACATAGTAGGTGATGTTAATGTAATTTTCCAGGGGTGCTTGGATCAGTTTGGAACATTACATGAAATAGGGAAACCTGGAGCAAGTTGATCCTTGTCTACTGTTCCACTGTACTACTGAGGAATAACTACCGAATCCGCTGTGATGATACGATCCCACCCCATATTGGCTGCTTCAGTACACCCCAAAGGGGAATGTTGCCCAAAATGGAACTGCAGGTAGGAAGAGTTCTTCGTGAATTGGTTTTAAGGTTTATAGAAGTAAATGCAATTTACTTAGTTTTAATGATCCATTTTCACTGGTTTTATCGTTTTTAGTGGTGTGGACCATACCGGCACATACCATCGACTGTATGATGTCTGGAAGACTGACCCCTGCACACACACCTGTACGAAGAATGGTATCGAAACCACAAGAGAAAAATGTGATCTGGGACCTGCGCCCCACATAGCTGTGTGTGAAAGTTACCCTCCAGGAGAATGTTGCCCTGAGTGGGAGTGCAGGTAAATGCAATTCTAAGTATTTGTTGAGAACAGAACTAAACCTACAGATGTAAAGGCGTTCAATTTAAACTTTAGGAAAAAATGGGATTACATGCAATATAGTGGCGTCACAAGTGCAGCACTTAAGAGTACACTTACATTTCCGGTCTATTAAGCGGATGAACCACTATCTACATAGGTGATGTTAATGTAATTTTCCAGGTGCTTGGATCAGTTTGGAACATTACATGAAATAGGGAAACCTGGAGCACAGTTGATCCTGTCTACTG